GAGATTTAAGAACCATCAAGGAATCAGACATTGCCCCCTGTCAAAACACACCCCTGCGTCACATAAACCATCTTCTCTTTTAGATCAGAAACTCTGCAAACTGAGGAAAGGGAACTGCAGAGGCAGCGTGTGCGGGCCAGCCCCGAAGCCCTATCTGTGCGCGTGTGCGGAGGGCTACGCCCTAAGCCGGGACGGGAAGCGCTGTGAAGGTAACGCGCGGCGGCGGGCGCTCTGACAGGCACCTGCTCTTCAGCGGGCCGTGCAGGGCCTCGTTGTGAAATCAGTTTTACTCCCCCTCCCTTCCCCAGAGAAACAATTTTATTTCCCCCTGTTGTTAAAGCCTTCGTAATGCTTCCAGGCCTTCCTTATAGCTTGTGTCCCTAGATCGAATGCTTTCAGAGGCTCCGCAGGGGTTGACCGTAGGCGGGCGTTCTCAGAGTGGACTCCATGGAACCCCGTGGGTTTGGCTGTGTGCAAAATATCCCTATTTTCAAATATTTTAGGGAAGTAGTTCCATAGCTATCATAAGATGCTCAGAGGGTGTGTGACCCCACATCTCCTCCCCTGAGGGCCTGGTGGGAAAGGGCGTCTGGAGGAAGTGTGTAGCCGCTGGTCAGCGAGGGCTCCTCCTTGGATGAGACTCCAGGCCAAGGTTAGCGGAGCCAGGAGGAATACCGGGCGCTCCAGTGAGCTGCTGCTGGAAACACTCCGATGGTTGCAGCGCACACGCAGTGGAGGTAGCTGGGGTGAGACATTAGGTAAACGTGAGACCCACTAGTTAAGGATACGCCCCTGCTTACCTGGGGCTAGTCAGAGGGAGGCATCTCATAGAATGGGGACCTGGGGGCTGGGTGTCGCTGAGAGTGGGCCCACCCTCAGGGGAGGGCTGCTGTCAGCTTTGAGAGGCTGCAGAGCAGAGCAGGCATGTCCTGTCCTTGTCAAGAACTTTCAACAGTCCCGACTTAAGTGGCTTTAAGTTGCTGTATCTTTTCAGAGAAAATAGTATGATTCCCCCCTCCCCCCAGGGTGATTCTATGAACATTTGTATTTGAAAGTAAAAACTCTGACAGAATAACAAGGACTTTCATGATAATTGAACTGACTTCTTTCACTCTTTACTACAGTAGCAAAAGCAGTCTTTCCACGGTCAGGAACAGCAGATACCAGTGTGAGATACTCTATTTTGGGCTGACTTGTGAGGGATACTACAATTTATTTTCAAAAATAACCATCTATGTTTTGCTGTTGTCATTGTGTAGATGTCAATGAATGTGCCTTTTGGAATCATGGCTGTACTCTTGGGTGTGAAAACACCCCTGGATCCTATTATTGCACATGCCCTGCAGGATTTGTCCTGCTTCCTGATGGGAAACGGTGTCACCGTAAGTTACAAGTACTTACTTTGCTATTTCCTTCATATTCACTGATGTTTAGGAGGTGGCTATGGTCTGGGTTGATGGTCCTAGATCAGCTGTAAGCTTCAGAATTACCTTGGAGTTTTATTTTATTTTGTTTTAAAACATAAATGACTGGACTCTATTCCAGACTTGTGGAATATAT